TTTCCAACTTCTTGCATTGTATGCAACATTTGTTTATAAATACAGTCTGATATAAGGTCGTTATACTGTACGTATTGTCAATATGATTTGACTAATATAATAAACACAAAAACATTTTACACAATTTTCGTTATGAGAACATTACACATTGATACGAGATGCGCGTAAACTCGTTCATACACTCGGGATTCATCAACCTCCTATTATACTCTTCCACATCCAGATCGGTTTTTATGACAGTCATAAATAAAAGCCGGGGTGATTTTTGCCCGCTCGAGTACCTGAAAAGATTTATAACAGTCAGACAAAGGCAAGGTCGAACTTTTAAACTAAAATTTAATAAAAACCAAAGTTTAGTTATATAACTAAAATTTAATTATAAAAACTAGTATAAAAGTCTTAGAAAAATGTATTACTTTTAGGAATGTCTCAATAATCTAATTATCATCCGCCCTTTTTTGTAATTAGACAATGCATGCCTTCTCAAAACATTTCTTAGAAAAAATATGTACTTAATATTAGAAATACAACAAATAAGAGAATAATGAGTATTCATATATCACCCTATTATTTTTCTACAATTTGCAAGTAACGTGTTCTTTAATGCGGCCCTGAGTGAAGAATCCCAGCATTCTACAATGGGAAACTACCTATTGCAACCCCATCTTTGTTCATTTTACAACTACAGTAGGAAAGTGACAGAGTCATAAAAACCGATCGCCGTGTGGAAGACTATAGAGTTGTTGTAGTGAAAATATTAGCTGTTCCAGATTGCTTAGGTATAATAAGTATATATCTGTGATATGGAACTGAAAATAGAAAAACTATGGTCACAGCAATCAACTAGACATTTTGGCAGCCCAACCTATTTTTAGTTATAACTTCGTAATGCTGTATCCCATAATTTTGATTTTCTAGAACAATCACTAGAACAACCCAGAACAACAAAGAAAATCTGATTTTTCAAAAAATGGGGGGTTAGTAAAAAACCGCTTTGGAACAATGTAGAACAACTCTAGAACAATCTAGAACAACAATAAAAAATTAAAAATCAAAAAATGGGGGGCTAACTTCCCGCACTGCATAAAAACATTAAATAGTAGAGGGACCAGAACCCTGAGAAAAAAATGGAAATCTAATAAAATATCCGAAACAATCAACTTATAAATAAAATAATTACATCTTCTTATTTAAAATACATATACATAAGAGACATTACAGTAGCTAATTCATGTAAATTACATCCACAAGTTTCACATTTACAGATATGTCCTTCAGGTATAACACTTTCAATTTTTTCATAATCCAAACTATTCGATTCAACACTAACATTTCCATCGATTCTACTACTTTTATCTTCTTTACATTGCATAGATTTCGAGCAAGTTTTCGATTTAATAAGCGATGAACGACTCATTCTTCCCGTAAGCCTATTAGGTTGATGAACANAGATTAAATAGTAGAGGGACCAGAACCCTGAGAAAAAAATGGAAATCTAATAAAATATCCGAAACAATCAACTTATAAATAAAATAATTACATCTTCTTATTTAAAATACATATACATAAGAGACATTACAGTAGCTAATTCATGTAAATTACATCCACAAGTTTCACATTTACAGATATGTCCTTCAGGTATAACACTTTCAATTTTTTCATAATCCAAACTATTCGATTCAACACTAACATTTCCATCGATTCTACTACTTTTATCTTCTTTACATTGCATAGATTTCGAGCAAGTTTTCGATTTAATAAGCGATGAACGACTCATTCTTCCCGTAAGCCTATTAGGTTGATGGACAGGAACAACCTTTTGATACCAATATTTTCCACATTTTTTCGATGACGTCGACGGACTGCTATGAAAAGAACTTTGCGTTTTCGTAGATGATTTTGATGGAGATACAGAAATTATTTTTCTACTCGAAGTGGGGGAATGTATTTTAGGCGATCTTGGAGAATGTTTCGATTTCATTGTTTAAATAATCTTTTAATCACTTAAATTTTATTTCTAATAAAAAGTCCTTTGTAAATCTAAATTTACACAGTTTAAAAATGAAATAAAAAACCAATTTGATTGACTTATTTTTTTTTACGTCACATTTAAATTTGGCGCTTTTTCCTGTCAAAATACATTATGCGATTTTAATTTGTTATTTGCGCATGCGTAATGGAAACGTCAGATTTGAAATGTTTTGTATTAGTATGTAGTAAGTTTTTTTCGTATTATTCACATTTGGTTTACGTAAATTTCTAAACAGGTTTATTTTTTATGTATTTGATGTAAGTGTTTTGAATCGATGATGATTCTGTTTCGATTAAATAACGATATGTAAAGAAAATGTAATCTAACCTCAAATTATTTTTATTTAAGATTATAAATATTATGGATACGTGCAGTTCGAACGCGTCTTCAGTAACTTCTTTAGATTTAGAATCGGAACATGAAGATGTGCCTGAAAAACCCTTATCGCCCGTTTTAAGTAAAAGTAAAACTAAAAACAGACGGTTTGTTCGTAAACAATCAAGTAAACAGCCGTTTAAGACGAATCTAGATGTGAAATTTAGGGATGGAGGTGATACACCATATCCAAATGCTTCAATTAAACAATTTAGAATAGAGGAAATGAATGAACAACAAAGGAAACAATATTACAATATGTTGTGTGATAAAAATGTTTATCAAGAAAATGTAAATGAAATAAGGGACGAGGATACTTGTAGACAAATATTTCCTGTGAGAGAAAAGATCGTTAAGCAAACACATAATGAAAGTAGGGAAACGGTGATTAATTACAGAGAAAATTCTAAAAGTGTTAAATTTTGTACTGCTAGTGGAAAAGGAATTAATATTTCAGATGAATCTTTACAAAAAGGGAGTGAAATTTTCGAGGATATCTTAGGTGCAGAAAATGAAGGTTATCATGGTAAGTCATTTTCAATCAAATTCGTTTACTAAAAATGTGGAAAAATTCAAGAATCATCATGTGGCTTATAAATCGACGATTTTTTTTTAATAAATGCGAAGAAACATTCGGATTTAGCCCCACATCTCTCAAGATGGCTAAACCCGAATGATTCTAGAGTTACAAGGTTTATACCTGTTAATTAGTTTTAATTGAATTTAACTTTATTTAATTAAAACACTAAATTATTACAATGTCAAATAATAACTTATTGTAAAAGATTCATAATATTAGAGGTTTAATTAAAGTTAGGAGATAAGTAATATAAAATAGACCTCTTGACCTCTAAAGTTTTTTAATAATTAACTTTATTTAGGGGAGACCATTTGTTTCTTTGAATTATGTGTCCGATATTATCCAATCTGGAAGTTGAAGGTACAGAAAGTATAGAACCGCGTCCTGTGGTGTGTCTTGAGCCAGTTTTGTTGACGCTAATGAGGCTTCGTACAAGTTCTAATCTAAAATTCAACTAAGAAATTGGCTTGTCATTATACCAGGTGATTCACATAAGAACCGACACAGAGCAGGGACATGTAGAGGACAATAAATTAAGATGATTTAACGCAACTTATCTCTATACTAAGTTGTACCCCTAAGGAGTTATAGGCCTTCAAAGATGAATCTTAAATTTTTAAAACATGGATTATCTTCATAATACATTAAGCTAGAAAAACCAAATTTGGTATACGTTATGAGTGTACCGAAGGTATTAATTGGTAGCAATTTGAGACCAAAGGGTTGATTAAATTTGGTGGATTTAATACATTATTACCTCATTTCATGTGGAATTTAATTCTAAAACTTTTTTTACTCTTATTATTTCAAAAAGACATTGTCGTTATCATAAAAAACTCAAATAACTAAAGACACGTATTTCGTTAATGCTACTTAAAATCATCGAAAATTACGCCCGTGAAGTTGGCCATAGATTTCAGCCATAGATTTTAAACTGAAAAAAATGCGTGATCGGGGTATTCAATCGATCTAATTTCAACGGCATCGTATTC